GCAACCATTGGAAGCTGTCTTTTGCCCTTGCTCAATGAACTGAATTGTTATGTTTCTGTGTTACTGATGCAACCACTTCATGCTATTTTTTTCTGCAGCCGTTGGGCATGGCTTGAATGCACACATGAACAGTCTACATAGAATACCAAGCCTGCTGTTTTTGTTATTATGTTGCAGCTGTACAGGCTTCTGCCACTTGGTTGATCCTCTGATTGGCTTGCTGCTTCTTCACCACTTTCAGAAACTGACCTGAGAACATGTTCATGTTCTCTGTCTTTGGGGTTCTTTCATGTGTACTCATGTGTATTGCTCAATGCTCCAGAGACAGACAGAGAAAAGTAGAAATTCAAATCCTTATACTGGTTTCCTAGAACTATTTTTTTTACTAGAAGGGGGCAGTTACTTAGGTCCATTATACACAAAACTAATTTGCATTAGTTACCTGGCAGCACAAGTCAAGATCTACAGAAAGATCAGGCAAATAAACCCTAATTAAAAAACTGATTATGAAACTGCAGTGCTGGGAAAAAATTCTGCAAATATTCTGTCTTTTTAGCAGCAGGTATCCATAGAGCCTTGGCTACTGAGGATTAGAAACATGTATTAAATAAATAAACAGGGCAGCCTTTTCTGCAATGGAGAGATGGTGACTCAAACATTTTATGCTGAATATCTGCTTAGTAGCCAGTTATTGAAAGTATTTGTGAGGTGGAGGGATGGGGAGTGGCAACTCCAGGAACTGTGAACACCAGATTCAGCAAAAAGAAGTAAAAGCAACACAACTGTAAAGATGGTTAGGTGCATAAATTAGGCAGCGATGAAAAAATGCTAAAGGTGTGGTTAATATATTCCAGGGCTGTCTATGCTGAAAGTATAATGACTGCTGCTGTAAGAGTGTATTTGGGCAGTAGCTCACAATACTGAGATTTTAATAGATTGAAAGGTGTTGAACATAGATAAGAGGGCACAGATAACTATGCATAAATAATGTATCTTTACAGAGGGGATCCCCCAGCTCAATATGTCTGACTTGAATTAAAATATGTATACACACATTGGTCACAATAATTATAGTCGTATCTGTTTTAATTAGAAAACATAAATTGTTAATTGTAGCACCATATTGTGAAACCAAATACTTAATGTTGATTTCATAAGTTATCTATCCACATCTCTTGTAATTCAAGAACTGTAATGAAGAATCAAAGAGGAACAGTCCTCTCTAAGCGATCTTCTCTCAGTCTAATAAATTTTGTTTAGCAAATCATCTGAATGCAAATAATTTACCTAACCAGACATTTGACTACTAATTAATATTTTAATAGGCACTTTTAAAAGCATGCTACAAAAAGGATATAGTAAATGTTTAACTAAATGCCAAACCCTCTATATGTTTTATTGTTCAGTAATTATACCATGTACTGATGCAGAGATTTATTTCTGAGGTAGTAAAAGCATATAGCAGTAAGCAGTGACTACACTATTTCAGTTTCACAGGCACATGGAGGCACTAGTGTGAGGCAAAGTTTGAAAATATTAGTCAAGTTAGAAATTTTCATTTGAAGTGGGCCAAATTCTTTATGCATGCTACTTGTTTTAAAGCTATAGACAAATACAGTGTAATGGCTGGGTGTTAATCATGGATGGAACAATTCTGTTGCCCCAAGACATTGTATGAGGGGCCATGTGATAATTCAGATCCTCAGCTCTGACCTCAGAGCTGGGAATTGGAGTCCTGTCCCTTCACAACTGGTGTGGAAAGAATTGCACCACCTACTCTCCAAGGATGGAAAAGCAACCTTGGCGGACAAAAGGAAGATGATGTAGAGAGTGCCCAGGGGAAGGGAGGAGACTGAGGCATCCAGGATACAAGATATCCAGAAGCTGCTCCAACCTCTTTCCCTCCCAAAGCAAAATGCCATTGATAGGTGGCCAAAAATGACAATTTAGCAAGAGTGCAGGCTACACAGCAAGGAGTAGGAAGGCAAAGATTGCTGCTACTGTTCCTACCACTCAGTATTGGATGCGTGCAAGCCTCTAAATGCATAGAAATTAACTCTAAATTATTGTAAGGACAAACACCACCACCAGGTGTCATTCTAGAGCCACATGAGCTCTCAAAAAAACAGTTTTAATACGTATCTGCCTTTCTTATGCCCATCTGAAAAATTATACAAAAGGCAAAGGAGTTTGCTTGGTGAGTGAGCTATATTCCCCCCTGCTGTTATATCACAGTGCTGATCCAGATTGGAAGCTCCTGCATGCCAATAAAGTTTTCTATGAAGGAAAAACACTGAAAATTCTACTCACAGAACTCCCATATTATCTCTTAGTAAAGGTAATTTTGTTGCTGTTTGTGAATTTGTTTTTCAGATAGGGGACTGAGAAAGAGTTCTCTATTACAACTGTCCTTTCAAGAGAGCCCAGCATAAGCATTTGATGAAAGGAAAGTCCAAAAATGTGAACACTTTCAAAGTGACAGCAGCAATGATTTTGGATGATGAAAAATATTCATTTCTAATGATGGTTGAAATGAACATTTCTTGCTATCTACGCATATTCTCCCAAAAATTATTTTTAAATTATGCAACAGGAAGGCTTTTAAATATTTAAGATTCAAAATTTCTGTGAATTTTGAAGTTAGGGTGGTGAGAATGTTTTGATACTTTAATGAACTCAGCAAACTTATTTCTTCCATTCCTTGTAATATCTATTTTATCTTTTGTTAATAGGCCTTTAGAGACCCTCCAAGACATAATCTCCCAATCTGTGACTAGAGTCACCATATTGAAGCATGGGAAGCCAATGTGCATTCTTGGTAGTTTGGGTTTTCTTGCATAGAGCCCTTCCTTTCTGAGTTTGTTCTGGCTGGGTGCTGTTGGGATCAGTGAATTTAGTTTTAAATTCCACATGTAAGAGACAGTTATTCTTTCACTGCCATTTCAGGCAATATAAGGTGGGGCTATCACAGCTGTGTTTCTGTATCTAAAAGTAACTTGGTGTTCTGGTTATTATTGTATAAGCATTAGACTAACATCAGCACCAGAAAATAATTTTTAAATGAACAAAGATTAAGATATTAAGGTGAATTAAAGAATAGTCTTTCTCTGTCTTCAAACAATAGATTGGGATTGTTTAAAGGTTCTTGAATTAAATCTGTTTGGTTACCATATCTAATAGTTAAGTACATCTTCACAAGCTAAGGGCTAGTTTACCTGTCACAATAAGCCTCCCTCCAAAATGAGTCATAGTGGATTGGTTGTTCAATTGCTAATCCCGTAACTCCCGACAAGACAGTTCAATCCTCTGCAGGTGGCTGTGCCATGTTTCCCTCCAGGCACATGTTCCATGGATCTTTGCAGCACAATATCAGCAACCTGCTCTGCTAATGAAAGCAACTGAGCTCAAACTAGAAGGGTTTTGGTGCATTTTTTCACTAAATCTCTGCAAATCTCTGGAGAGATTTGCACAAATGTATATATAGTTGGATTTATATATATATTTATATATATATATATATATATATATGTGTGTGTGTGTGTATGTATATATAGTATATACATGTGTGTATATATATATACACACTATATATAGTATGTATATGCATATATAGTATATATATACACATGTATATATATAGTATATACACACACACACACACACACACACACATATACACACGTGTGTGTGTGTGTAAATGTATATATAGTTGTAGGTGCAGATGGCAAGGGAAGAGGTGCTAGGAAGATAGTGAGGAGACGCTTTTTTTTTTTTTTTGCTGTTCTTCACAGGTGGCTCTGTAATCCATTGTGGCAAGTCATGCACAAGCCATTCTTCCACATTTACAGATCACAAGTTTCTCTAAAAACAATCTACCTTGAATGGCCAATAAGCCAGACAGTTTCAGAGTGGCATATGCTTGGTTAACAAACCATGCTGAGGAAACAATACCAGGTTCAGACATCATGGCAAGCCACTCTGTATCAAATCAGGGTGACAACCCACCATGGGTTGTCCTATCATCCATTCCAAGTTAGTAGTTTCTCCAAGACTCCATCCCAACCAATTCCTTACAAACAGAATTGGATAAAAGTACACCAGCCTTCTTTTGCCTCCAGTTCTTCCTACTTCTTGCTTCTAGGATGATTCAGATGTTTTACTATTTGCTGAAGTTCCCTCCCTGTCTGGATGCAAATCAGGAACCCAAAACATATTCCATTTAATTTTGTTTGCTCATAATGTCATGTTTGGTACATTAAATTATTCCTTAAATTATTCATATAATAGTTACAAATTTACTGGATTTTTAAAATTTTTAATTTTATGCACAAACCAAATGACATATGTTCTTTAGATTCCTAAAAGTCCAAACTGACTTTAGATTAGTACAGAGTACCAAATAACATTTTTCATTTCCTCCAGTATGTGTCCCTCCCCAATTTTTTTAATTATCACTCCACTGTAAATAATGTTCATGTACCCCATAATCAAAACAACACTTGTTATTGCTTGTTACAGATTTGAAACTAGATGTGAGGGCAGCCATATCTTTAAATGATGATCTATTCCAATCTTATTGCAGATGGCATTGCCCCACAGCTGTGTATAGAAAAGGAACCCTGGGAATGGGATGCTGGCAAACCCGTATCTTGAAATGCAGGTACTCCTTAATCATATATAGTACATGTGTGGTGGTGGTGCTGGTGTAGGAGCAAGAGCAAGAGGTCATGGGGATGAGGGGTGCTAAATGCCCCCGATTTGCACAAGTTATCTCCCTGCAGTCTCTTCCTAGCAGGGAGAGAGGGAACAGGAGTGATGGATAAGGAGAGGGATTAATCCCTTCATGATGGAGGTAGACACCAATTTTTTAAAAATCAGGTTCATTGCTTCTGCACCTGATATCAGGTAACAAGTTCCACTTCTAAAGAATGTTAATGTCCAGGGTATTTTAATTTGTCTCAAGAAATGTCAAATGATTTTTTAAAAAGGAGTCAGAGAAAGCTGTGGTAAGAATATTTATATTTTCTTTTTTTATACACTTTTTTATTAACATTTACAAAAACATTCAAACACTGAGGAAAAAATTAAATAACTTTGGAAGCAGAACTCCTTTCTTTCTGCCTACATACATACAACAATTCTGACCTGTTGGCACAAAAAAATAATCCACATTCATAAAACCCTTACAACTATTATCAAACATAAATTAAGTAAATCATAGGCACTAGTTTATCAAATTCATGTTTCCACACTTCTTCAAAATACCCAAACCTCTAAACACAGAAAGTCCTAGTCCTGATAATCAAATAAACTGGTAATGCACAAAGTCTCCCCTAGTAAACTGGCAGTTTTCATCTTTCAGGAATTTGTATTTGCAGAATGTTTACTACGATGTAGCAGCAGGATGTTTCCAGAACCTAATATACCTTCCAAGTGATTAAATAGCCGGACTATATAAAAACAGTAGTTTGTAAAATACGGTGATGTAGCTTGATTAAAAAAGGCAACATCTGAATTTCTGAAAAAGCAAAATCAATTAATTTTTTGTAACAAAAGCACAAATTGTTATTTCTTGACTTTTGAAGACTGCAATATCCACTTCATTAAAGCCAAGCTTTTTTTTAAGAGGTTAGGTAGATTTACCCAAACTTTTTGGGTACCTCAGATTTTAAATAGCAATATAAATAGTGCTGGACACACAGTAAACACAGCTCTGTTTAACCTGGCCTCCATTTTTTTTATTGGCTACATTGATTTTGGAAGACAAACCAGATCAGTAAATTTTGATCTAACTGGATGTAAAGATCAGGAGAAATGTTTATTAGTAACATTTATAATTAAAGTGGTGCCACTTCCCACACTGTACTTGTGATTCATAGCAGTGTGAGCATTCCACTATATAAAAATGGAGTGTGGGCAAGATTTCTGTACATATCACCTTCTAAGACCTGGTTATACTGAGAATGAGAAAGTGGCACATGTGGCCGTGTCTTTCTTGGCAGCTGACTCATGCATCAAAGACCCTATGGTGTCTCCTTAAGGATCAGCATCCTAAAGATTCCTACAGCAGGAATCCCATGACTAGAACATGGTCCTGGGAAAGGCCCCTCTTCTAATCAATAAAAGGTTACTGATAGGTTATGAAATTACAGAAGCCAATATCTGGTCCTATCTTGTCTTACTCTCTTTTCCAATTCAAGTAAAAACTGCATGGCTTTTAATCCACTAAGCTATGAAGGCTAGCTAAAAATTTAAGGACTCTAATTCCAAAATCATTTACCCTTTGCTGCAAGCATATTCAGAAAGCGTATTTTAAGAGGCAGGCATGAATGAGGTTAAAAGGCAACCTACTACACATTCCAACACAATTTGTTGGATTCTTCAGTTATTAAAGTAAGGGTATCCTGACTAGCTTCTTTTCTCATTACATACTTTGCAAGTGCTGCATATTCACAGCCACATGCCATAGTAAGAGACTGCTCTCTCATCCCCTACAAAGGGATTTTCCTTGCCAATGAATGCTCCCAACCTGTTGTCTTCACGTAACACACCTTCAGTCTTCCAATGTAGCACAAACTAAAAAGGAGGGGGGTGGGCTTTGGGTGATAATAGTAGTACTTTTCTGCTGGGTAGGGTACCCTGCCAACAAGGATAGGCAAAAACAATAAGTATTGGTTAGTCTGACAGTCACTAGAGGAATTAAATACCTTGTAAACATATGTGGCAGGTTTTTTGTTTTTGTTTTAATCTCTTACCAACAATGTAAAATACAAGTGTAAGGCAAAGTACATTGTTAAAATACTAACATGGGCAATGACTTCAGCAGAAGTATTTACAGTTAAAAACAAAGTTAGGAAATGAATCAGTTTTTTAAAAAAGGATAAAGAAGACTCCCTCATACCATAAAACATTACCCACATGAATATATCATTTGGTATCAACAGTACAACTCATTTCCTTAGAATCTCTAGGTTACAAGTGCATAGTTGTCTTTTCTTCATGTTAACTATAGGCATGTTCAGTTGAGTTCCAGGCTGTAAGCACTGTGGTGTGATTTAATGGATACTCTTTCCTTTTCAAGGAAACTTGCTCTAAAAATGACTTCTCAAAATAGTATGAGCTGTGTGTTTAAAATGTGGCTGAGATAGCAAAGGCCATCTATTCCTGAGCCAGGAACTGTTAGTTTAGAAAGATTGTACAACTGACACAAAGCCCTTTTGGCAAAGTTAAATAACACAAACCAGATATGTCAAGTCAACATAAAAGGATGCTAGCTATCCCACCCAAATTTGGGGAACCTATTGGATCCAGACTGTTTAAACAATATATAAAAATGATATAGCTTTCCTACCATTCTTAGTGGGAGTACAAAGACAATTGTTCTAACATGACTCAACAATTTTTCAATCCAAATCTTCCACAATTGTTTAAAACAATCTCACTAGCACAGTAGCACTTTGAACTCCATTTTTTGCTTTGATTAATATATTGAATGTTTACATATCCAAAAATTCCTTGTTCCTTAAATCAATCAAGTCATGTATGATGTTTTTGGAAAGTATCAGCTTACAAGTTTACATGCTGCTTTTTCAAATAGAATATTTCTTTGGCATTTTTAGGTGTTTGCCCAAATGTTGGCTATTGTATCCCTGTGAGCATTTATAACAATTTTAGGAAGAGCGGGGGGCTGGGGCAGAAGCTCCAGAGGTGAAAAGTGATTCATGTAAAAGTGATTTGAGTGATCACCAAGTATCTGATGTTGATGTCATTAAAGTGCTGTTTTATAATCTCTGCCAGCTTGTGCTAATTAAGGACAGAGAAGTTTGGGGATTTACAAAACCCCCCAAAGTCTTGTCTGATCAGTCTGCATATTGATCTGTCGGTTTAGCTTGGTGAAGGAATACCTGCTGAGCAACGTAGTTTTGCAGTTTAGTAGCAGCCGTCCTTCCAGCTCTCATCTTTCACATTGCTATACGTTTTTGGAGCTGGCAGTGTTCTGAAATGGATACAATTTATCCGTATGAGTTTTCAAGCATAAGAAAATATACACATACAAATGTTTCTTTAAAATTAAAATTAGTTCATTGGCTGTATTATCAATAAAATATTAGTTGAAGATGGCACTTCAAGCAATTAAACAATATCAACATTTAAGTCGTTTAAGAATTTCAGATAAATCCTGCTGACCACTGTTGAAAACAGGAATCTGGACTAGATGGGTCTAGAGCTGACCAAACAAGAAAGGCTTTTAAGGCACTGCCTGATTCCCTTTTCATTCAAAACCAGCTTCTTACTGAAAGGACTGCTCCAAGACTTCTCTCTTAATCCAGCATCAAAATTTAGTTCTAACAATAAAATAAAAGCTCATCCAAAAGGCATGTTCTACTGAGATTTCTATGCTTCTGCAAGCTATCTTGAAATAAAAAAGAATGGCATAAAAAGTTTGCATGTGAAAGGTATCTGGTGGTCTTGAAGAAAATAATAAAATACTTCGTAAATTTAGTGGTACTACAATCTATTTAGTATAAATTGTGGTAAAGCAATCTATTTACCTAAAGGCAACTGTATACTACAAAACAACCTTAGCTGTTCCTTTTTCTCATGACCCTCTAGTACTACTTACTTAGAAGCAGCTGTTTCCAAATAGGCAGAATCCTTTTTTAAGATAATTTAGGCAGAATGCATGTGAAGTATTTTTCATTAACATCATCTTAGCAATCTTTTCAATACAATACAGTATACAGTGGTACCTTGGCTCACGAACTTAATCCGTTCCATGACTTTGGTGGCAACCCAAATTGGTCATGAGCCAAGTCAAATTTCCCCATAAGGTTCAATGTAAAGAAGGTTAATCCATTCTGTAAATATTTTTTTTAATCACAGGGAAGGCAGGCACGATTGCAGGCACACTCGGGGGGACGGGACGGGCACACTTGTGGGCACGCTCGGGGGGGAGACAGGCATGACCACGGCCATCTCCCCCCGCCGAGCATGACCATGATCCTGCCTGTCTCCCCACCCCAAGAGCGCCCACGATTGTCACCTGATGCAGAGTTCGCAACCTGAGGAAAATTTTTTCCTAAATTTCTGTTCGCGACTCAATTTGGTCATGAACTGAGGCGTTCATGAGCTGAGGTACCACTGTATAAGGATACACACACTGTATTCTAATAGCCTGCAAAAAGAAGGCCAAGTCCCTTCATCTGAAAATCAGTACCTCTCTGATGTTAAATACTGAACATGGCTTAGAGGCACTAGGAATTACTCTGCTGATTCTCCATTCAGAAACTCCCTCAATAAACACTACAAACAGCCTTTATACAAAGCTGTATTAAATTCAGAGCATTTAGAGAACGTTTCCATGTGGCCAAACCATTGCCCAGAGTAACCTGACAGACCTTTCATGCCATTAACCTGTCTAACCAATTTAAATGAGTTTCTGGTAACCTGAGGGTAAAGCATTTCCTTTGGCACATAGCTCCTGATAAACTGCTTGCTGTGATACAAAGCTTTGTGGAAAGCTATTTGGTGTTTCTGCTCTTAATCTCACAGAGGCATTCTACAGTTCTCCATCCTGCAAAATTCAGGACATTTAATACTCCCTAGCCTAGGACAAGTTCTTGTCATAGTTGTCTAAGGAAAAAAAAAGACTTGGTTAGCTATTTGCTAAAAGATTTACTAAAATGTCCTACACTCAAGCATACCATTTACCTTTCCCCACATACTATCAAGTATAAAATGTAATATTTAGTGCCAGCTTATTATTAGGATTGAGTGGTTATGGCATATTATAAAAATTTCCTGATTCTTACTGTCGATGGCATTTGACATTTGCCAAATATTTTCTTCCAGCTGAAGTTTCTAAAACAAAGCATTTAAATAACCACACTGGTGTTATTTAGACAGTCTTTTGTTCAGAAGCTCCCCCTCAGAAATGCAAATAGCACTTGCAAACCAGAGAACAGCTTTGTCAATTGTTCAAATTTCAAATGGAGATTAATTTAGAAAGGATGCAACTTAAGACACTGAGGTACATATTCTCAACCTGTACCCGATGGTATTCTTTTAAGAAGTCAACAGATGAGAACAACAAAATGTTGTAGTATGGAATACTTTCAGTGTGTCACTCTCCATCCATGCTACGCCATTCCCTCTTGACTCAGTTAGCATTGCACAGCCACTGAATATGCTTGGTTTTCACTTGTCTGTTTTGAGCATTCCTCCATCATATATTTGTTCCTTAAGATCTGTTGTACCTTTGCAAACCTTGCAGTTTTCCCAAGCCTACTGATACCTCTTCCTTGTGCACGAGTGATACCCTTTTATATACATAAAGTCTGACAGTAATAACTGAATGTCAGAAAAACATAGGGCAAGCAGGACTACACAACATGTTGCAGTGTATCCTAGTGTCCACATGTTACCTGAGCCTGTACCTGAGTAAACTGAAAAAAGCAAAAGACAAGACAGGGATTTCTGTTCTGCATTGGATTTTATTGCAAAAGCAATATATTAAGGGTACAGCCCTATGCTCCATGCACGTGATGCACATAAGCCTCAGTCACTCCACTACCACCATGCCTCATCCCAGGTATTTTACCCTAAAGGCTATTTTAACCATCTACCTTAAAGTGGTAGGGAAGGAAAGGGAACTTGGAGGATGATTCGAAGTGGTTTAAGTCTTCTGCCCCAGGCTTCTCCGCTCCCCATTCCTTCCCCCCGCCCTTTGAGGGAACAGTTGCAACCTTAGGAGGGGTGGGGCAGCTGGCATGGTTCTTTCCACAGCAGCTGTGAAGAGAGCAGGACAGGGGCTCAGGAGTCTCAGCTCCAAGACTGCAGAATCTCAGATCTAGAACTCTATAAATAATTCTACTACCTCTCTGTTGACTGTACCTTTCATTTTTGAATTCTGAAAAATGAAGTAAAGCACTTAATGCATGCTTTATGCAAGTCAATAAAGCAGAAGGAATCTATTATTACTAAATACTTAATTTGGCCTGGGAGGAATACAGAGGGCCATTAAGGCAAACTGAATTTTTTGCAACATGAGATTGTGGGAGGTGAAGTAGAGACACTTGTGCTCAATTTCAGCTATACAAAACTCTTTGATGTTTCAGTTGATTGCTATGGGTATCTCTCACTTCTGATTTTGGGTTCAATTAACAATTGCCTCAATATACAATAGAAATTGACTTATCCAGACAATAAGGTTGTTCTCTCTAGCCTCCTTACTCCTTTTATCTGACTCTTCCTCCCTCCCCCTTTTCCAGTCATCCATTCTACTCCCTCTTCACTTTGTTATCAGTCCCCCTGCCGCTCTTTGTCTCTCAACAATGTGTGTCACTGAATCTTTACAGGGCTATTTCATGGGCCTTCCCCTGCCTGGTTTTCATAAGATTGTACTTGTACGAACCTTAACATTTCCACAGAGAGTCTAACAATGCCTCCTCATTGTATAAGAGTGCTGATATTTGACTACATAATGGCAAGTACACTCCCCTGAATTTGGAAATAGAACATCTGAACTTACCGTGCTTGGGGTGAGGGCATAAATGCATTTTTCTACAATAAGAATGCTTCAATAGAAAGTGGCAGACTCACCTGCGAACAGGCTGTGCAAGTTTGCTACGAGGCACTGGTATGCCCCCAGTGGAGGAGGCACTAGGTCTTGGCAAACCACTCCTCATCCCTGTTGTCCCTGCAGGTCTTGTAAGTGTAGCACTGTTGATGCTGCTGGCTGGGCTTGGAGAGACTGAACTAGGAGCTGCTAAAGGCCCTGGTGAAGAGCTACTGTGTGGAAGCTGGACGGCTTCTGAAGCAGCAGAGCTAGGTCCATGGTTACTAAATGCTTTTACCGGCTGTCTCAAAGCCAGAGGAGATGGTGCTGCTGGGGAGCGGAATTTACTGGGAGAAGGAACTGGAAAATCAGCAAAACAAAACAGTCAGTATTAACTGGCAGAGCAACAAGGTAGCTCAGCTTAAAAAAAGACGACCTGAAAGGCAATTGCAATATACTGCAGGTTCAAGTTAATGCTTTTAAACCTATTCTGGGAAAGAAATCTGCTAACTGCTTACAACATCTTACTATAAGTAATTAGCAACTTGATGTGTGACAGAAGAAAAATAAATGTGTATCCCAAATTGACAAATAATCTTGTGCCCATTTTTTGTTTAAGCATTGTCAACAGCTAACCAGGTTTTCATTGGTGACTGTTATCAGTCAGGTTTTCAGTGTTTTTTATGGAAAGAGATTTTCAATAAAATTTGAAAAATTGTCTAGGCCACTTAGACAAATACTTACTTCTAGCTCTGGTTCATTCTGTAAACACCTGCTACATGCACTTTAGTAAGCAGTTTATTTTTGAGGTCGCCTACTACAGTTTAAAGCACTCCCCATGATACTGTTTACGGACACTGAGGAGGATCCTTTTCATCACATCAAAAAAATGTGGGTATGTACAAAGTAAATAATACAGGATGCATCCTTCCTCCTACAACCCCTTGAACCCCTGTCCAATCTGCTCCAGAGTGTCCCCAACCCTCCATAATAGACTGGGGATGCCTGGGTAGGCTGCTAGAGGAAGGAGGAATTGCCGCTCCCCGCTCCATTGACATATGCAATTACATCATGAACAAATGAACCTCCTCCTACCTTCCTGCCACTCTATCTACAGCATCTCCATGTAACACATTAATACTTAATACAAAAATCAAATGTATTCAACTGTTTTGTATTCTTGAACTATTGCTATTACCTTTTAAGTTGTGAAATGATGATAGGAAGACAAACTTTTACTCTTATATTTATTTCTAAGTTAATAAGGTAAATTTAGCTATACTTTTTATAGTACACTGTAGGGTTTTTTTACATTTAAGTTTATTAGCTGGAAGTAATGCTTATATTATGAATTCTTTTCTGAATTCATAATATAAGTGGTGCATATATATGTTATTGCAGCACTAAATATCTAGATATAAGGCCTCTAAATACAAGGCATTAAAGTATAACAAATATTTCTTCATTAGAAGTACCCCAGAGAAGACTGTAATCAAACAGAAGATACAAGTCACCACCCTTTTATGAGATCCAGTTCATATAGCTGCAGCCAGAAGAAACTGACTGGGCCTGGTGTTCAGTAGAAGTGAAATGCATGAGAATCCTGCATATAACTGCAAATTTTAAAAGAATGTGTAACAAAATAAGAAATGCAGTTCTAACATAGCACAGGGAAATATTTTTGAAGTATGCAGTAATTTTATTCATGAACTTCATGAATAAAGATGATTTTTTAAAATATTCCTATAGGTTCAAGCAGCCTCTAAAATGAAATGGAAAACACCTCACAAATCCATTGTCCTTCCTATTGAGATAATCCAGGATATTCTAGGAATAGAGATACATATCCAAACTGTGTACAATACTTCAGTTTCCACTATATTACGCTGACGACATACTGCACGCAGCTGTGATTTTACTGTAACAAAAAGGCCTTTACAAAAGGAAGCATGTGGCTTAAAAAGGATGTCTTTGTTTGCACTCCAAACTATGATCAGCCTGATGTCATTATTAATAGACTGTCTAGTTAATCCCATTCCATACAGAAGCCTTTTACTCATAAAATAACTACTAATACCCACACTTTCAGAGAGAGCTTCTGTATATCTACACTGTCCCCTTTTAGAGCCAATTACCTCAGTATAAGAATATGGTGGTAGTTGCACCCCCGCAAAAAAGTTTTTGCATTCAGAAAATAAGAAATGTACAGAAAATATCTTGAGCAACCTTGTCCCAACTAGTTAGCTCTTTGTAAATGTAAACCACACAGAGTATTGAGCAACAGCCTGATATATGGAGGAAAGGGGATTAAAACTTCTTGCAAAGAAATGCAGATTTAAGTATAGTAAGCAATCCAAACTGTACTATTTCCACGTGATATAAAATTATTACTTCTACATCCCCTCACAGTAATAATTTTTCAGATATGTAGCATTTTCTAAGGGAATCACCAGCGAGCTGTTGATCTAGGGCTGCTATTGTTAAATGAAGAACCACGTTGATATGTTATCTACTCATGAATCATTCTAAAGAGAAAATGACTGGACTCAAATGGGAATGATAGATGTAAGCAAAGATGTGCTGATGCCTTATAAATGACCAACAACTCATTCTTTCTATTTCTTGACTTCAATAGCTGAGTCTATCACAGAACACATGTTAATATATAAAATTAGGTTAATTCAAGACAAAAACAAGAAAAATAATTAGGATAAACATTAACAGATATTTGCATGCCCCAAAGCCTTGTCTCTATTCAGAAGAGCCTTTTCTTACTCTATATTTCTGTCCTCAAGTTTCACAAAGGACATTCCTAAGCTTTCCTAGACTTTAGAGCCTCTAATAAACTCTTTCCACAAGCTATCATATGCAGTTCACATCAGTTCTGAACTTTCAAGGTTTACCCTATACACAAAGTACCTCTTAATACATGCAGTCATGCAGACAGGAACACAAAGAAGTCTCCTCAAACATAACTTGACTAGGAATATCAAGTTTTAATTGGCATCAAGAACAGAATCACACGATGTTCAACACAAGTCATGGAAACCAGCTATTGTTGCAGCGTGTGCAAAGCAGTTGGTTTTTGGTTTTGGTGTGTCTGTCTGGGCAATCAGGGGAATCCTGCAAAAATCCTGATGCTGAGGACAGAAAAAAAGTCCCTCTTGTTCATTGTCTGACCATGAGACAGGCAACATCAGTAAGTAATTTTATATAAAAAAGACTCTATATTAAAGATCACACTAACAATAGAGAGTGAGCCCATCTCTAGTTGGGACCAGCTGCTATAGTTATCATGCACAGCACATTTACACATTTAGTTTTTTGCAATGATCAGATATAGGAAAACATTACAGCACAAAACATGCTGTTATTTTTGGAAATGTTTAGCTTGACCTACACTTCTGGTGTCAAAACATGTAGCTCCAGGCTTATCTTTACACATTTTGACCTTCTTGGCAAGGGGTTTATTTTTATCTTTGCCTCTCTTATGTGTCTCTGAACCCTAAATAACTGTCCCTTGTTGTTTGGTCATCAGGAAAAAATTATATTCTTCACTGAAAATCTTAGATTGTGTGTGTGTATTGGGGAGTATGGAAAGTGAAAATCCAAACACCAAGCAGCTTCTATGATTACTACTTACATTTTATGATCAGCATTGCTCGCAAAGCAGCACTAAGTAAACCACGATTTGAAGAACAGTATTTGGGGTTTTTGATCTTACTCTATAGCTTCTCAAATAATTTTTGTTTTATAAATGCAGTCTCACACATCACTCAGCTTGAGAACTACTGCCTTACTAATTAATAATTTGAGCTGTTGTGTGGGAACCATTTTATTGTCAGTTGAACTGCTTAATTTCACTTTTTGCATTTTTTCTAAGTCACTGTAAATTCATATTACAGCAAAAAGCAGGATTAGAATAATAACGATGATGGTGATAATATGAGAGGGTTAAGGATAATGGCAAAATGGATAAAACTGAAACAGAATCTAAAAGAAAATCCCCTTAGCAAAATAGCATGCCTTGACATTTTATATGCTTTGGTATATCATCCACGGAAGCTGCCTATTGATAAAATATGAGGAGCAGAACTTCAGAGGCTGAAATACTTGTACTTTTGTATTACTTCAGTTGCCCAAAACCATGTCCACAGTGAACCTTATCAGGAAAATTGTGATTTTTTGATGAATTACAAAACAGCCAAGCTACAACCAGACTCTAGGCTCATGATGGAATTTTCATACTAACTTCCCTTAATTTGTTCAAAATATCTATCAATGATGAACTAAACATTTCAGATTTAGCAAGATTTGAGCAAAAATAAATAAAATATTTTCTTTAATCTTGAAAGTTTCTCTTTCTTTCCTGGCAGGACTACTTTGAACAAATCAATCCCCTTTCTTATTTAGATTCATAAAAAAGAATAGAAGACATTTGTGGTGTCACTAGTCCTAGAACTACATTGGCTGAAGCATATCTTCCATAACTGCAACAACTGTCTAATCACCATGTACACAGAAGGAAAGCATGCTTGGTGATCTCTAGTTAAGCACAGGTAACCTGAGCCCATTATGATGTTACAAACAACCTTCTCAAAAAAGAAATGTAACCATGTTCATATTAACATCAAGATGTTTTGCCATATCTTCTCTCAGATTCTTACTGAATTCTTGTGTGACCACCAGAAGTAAAATGTGTTCCCCAATTCACCATTCTATCACGAATTTGTATGTGGTAGCAGCAAAATGTTTATATATTGGCCCACAAATGAAAACTATAGGCTCACTACTTCATTATATATACCTAGGGACTGGTCACCATTTGGGATGAAGTATTCTGTGTCTGCTCTCTGCATGTTATTAATGCAGGCAGGCTTCTCCTATACTAAAATTCCACTTACGATGTAGCCCATAGCCTCTAGATAATACTTTGGTTCTTATATCTTGCCCCATAATGTCATCCTCAAGGACAAAGTATCATGGTGTAAGAAGTCTGTAAGGTAGGCACATTCCAGTTTGAAGACGGCAGCATGGTTGAAAATCAGTAAACAATCAGCCTCTTGCTGAGGTATGCACTCTTGATCAAGTAAGTTCATCAGCTGGGTATTTTCAAGCTATTTCACAGATACTGATCATAAAACTCTTTCAATGTTAACTATTAGGGAAATGTTTACAAAGCCTTGTTTAGAAACTATGCATTATGAACTTGAGTATGATATACATGTTTTAAGAGTGTACACATTTTATACAAACCCTCAAAAACCTGAATTTCAGTATCACACAATAAATTAATAATATGCTTAATCTAACAGTTCAATCCTCAACCAAAAGAAGTTGTTAATTTTTTTTAAGTATCTAATATCTCCAGATTGAAAAATTTTGTCCAGCTGTCCCAAACAAGCATAAAAACATGGCTGGTTGAAAGAGCAATTAAGCAAAGATTCTATAAAAATGAATGTGTATTAGGCAGGCTTAGAAATGTACCAATATGCTTAACCAGTTACTGTCAAATAAATGAATGGGGAATCAGAATGAACTTATTGATTGTCTTAGAGCTCACCAAGTGAATTTTGCTCACTATGACTAATTATTCTTGACAAAACTGTAAGGGAGGTTATTTCAAGGTAGGAATAATCTTTAAAATATTCAGTCATTTCAGGACAGTTAATAAAATAGCAATTTTATTGTCCTGAATTCAAAATCTCAATACCATCCACTAGACATTGCTCAAAACCTCACTCACACACGATTACAGAGCAGAAGCAGTTGGTAGATTGTGTCTCAACCTAATCAAAATTCAAGCCTGGTTCTAAACCAGAATATAAGATGATGGAATTCAGACATGATGGTGATTATATTATCAATTAAGAAGAAAACAGAATTTTCTGCTAGCCTACAGCAATACTTTTAATGAATCTTAACAGCTTTCTACATTCCAAGGTTTAGAAACACGAGGGAAGGACTTGATAGCCAGTATCTGTAAAATTTAGTATCTGTGCAAGAATAGCCTGCATCATTAACATTACCCAATAAATGTCTTTCTTTGCAGTTTGTAGAGGCATTACTTCAATTGCAGAAGTTCAAACAGAAAGAAGAAAATGGTGCATTTAGCTGGAGCTTGTAAGAGGCTATAAGCTTATTACCTCCTTTGGTAGCTGGAGTAGGAAGTAGCTGTTTGGTTTTGAAGGCAACACGGGGCAAATTTTTCTGCCTTTGCAGAGCTGTTGAAACAAAGACACGTTATATCTGTCTAAACAGACAAGACAAGAAGGACTTTGAACTACAATGTAAAATTCATTTAAGACTGCCCATGAAGTCTCAGGAAGCAAAAATTGCTAACGAAAAGCATGACAGTTTTCAAAAGCTGTTATGGCTCCCATAGTAGTAGCAGCAGTGAAAGGTTTTAAAGAAGTGATGCTCACTGCAATAAAGGCTGCAAGTGTCAGACTTTTTGGAGAACAATATGCATTAAGTGTTTTAGCAGGCAAAGAGCTTCTGCAGACCCAAGCCTAGGAAGGCAAAAATAATTTGCACACCCAGAAGTGAAAATAAACCACCAGCCAGACATGCCACAGCCAAATCAGTGCAAGGTTAAAATCAAGACACGATTGTCACATTTAACTCCAAAGATATGATATGAAAACCTGGTTTCCATGACAAGGTAACCCATTATGGGTAACAAGCCACCATGACAGTTCTTGGCTTATTCTAGGGGCTTGGACAATGATAGGCTTACGTGTCCAAACCTGGAAAATCAATTTGATTGTAGGTTGTGAGGACTGAAAAGTCCCTGCTGCTCCTTGTGATCTCATTCTTGCTGCTGCCAGTCACAGCCTTTTCACCAATGCCTAAGTGGCACTTTGGAGCATTCATCATAAGACTACACTTGTACAAAACTGAATTATTATCATTATTATTATAATTATTATTATTATTACAAACACATTTGTCCAATTTTCTAGGGCTGAAAAAAATAACTGCAACTCCAGTTGCATATTTTTGAGGCTCCCTTTTTTAAAGCTGTGAAGGAAAAGGAGTAGGGATCATTGTGGAGAGAGGAGATGTAAACAATATATATTCTACAATGAAGGATCCTAGAATACCAGCTGAGTGAACTACGGGAAGAACAAGCCATGAGTCTGATTATCTGTTGGGAACTGAGTGGTTTATTTGCAGGGTGGTTTAGCATATCATGCACACCCGGCCAAAGTTTGATTTCAAATAGTGAACTCTAGAAGGTTATTTCTTTTGCCAAAAGTTAAAGAAAATCTGTCTTTAAAAATCATATGTCCATACTACTAGTTTTTCACTTTCCTACATGATGTCACAATTTCTTCATCCAAGATATATTTTTATTGAAATAATCTAGCAATGTACATATAAATCTAGCATTTATAAAGCTGACTAATGCAGATGGAATTCAAGCTGGCATGGTAAAAAGTCATCCAAACCAAACTGCAGTGTCTTAAGGAGGGCTGCAATGTACTGTTCACTAAAGGGCAAGTATGTAACGGTCATATTGACAAATCAAACTTGATAAATCTGATAATTCACCAAGGCATGGTCCACTGGAATTACCATCCAAAGATCCCATTCTAACATAAGCATCTTCTGAGAAAGGAACATGGAGCAGGCTTAGGCAATCCTTCCCATCCTCTCTGGTGTATCAGTTCTCTCACTACTATTGTTTTGGTGTGTTATCTCAATTCATTCAATTAATCTCAATTCACTTTGGGAATTCTGATTAAAAAATCAAATTTTCAAAGTGAGTTTATGAGTATATACAATTCCATTTCAACCTAGGATGAGAAGAGTCAGAAACACTAAACTCAAGAAAAAGAGGGAAGCAAGAAACCTTATCATTAATGTGTTGAGTCACGTGGTTTTTCATCATGCCCCTGTATCAAGTTTTATATCTGATCCATGTCTCTGTCCTACATTTCCCTGGATTTATGTCTGTGCCTAGTAATACTGCACAGAAAACTAGATATATCGCTGCTGCGTTTTAGGATTTGCAAAATTGTTAATGAACAGCAAATAGCTGTTACTTGTTCTTGATGTTTCTGTACTTCCCTTTGGTGTGAATAAAAAAATGTGTTTCACTTTGCTCAGACACTTTTTCTGACAGTTCAACCCTAATCTTTTATTCACACATAAATTCCACTGATGTTTGCATTAAGTCACAATATTATACATACTCAAATAGAAATAAAATTCACAGCTGAATGGGTCTTACTTTTGAACAAGCATGCATAGTAACTGCACTGTTAGTTTAGTATCATTTCATATCATTTCCTTACTAAAGGAAAAAATCTTGTATGAACTGAAATAAAATACTATTCCACAGTAAAAGATTTTTAAATATCTAAGTCAAAATCTATAGAAATAAATCAAAAGAGTAAGCTCTATCATTACAAATTCCTCTTGATTGTGTCAGTGTAACTTTTCAATTAACCAAAATAAAGTGGAGATATAAAATGCCAGGCAGTCTATAACATAACCAATTGCAATGAGCAAATACATAATGTCTACTCTATGCTTCAATATAAGGAAGCATAAGTACGCTAAACAACATTTACAACCTTCTCTTGCAAGTTATGTGAAAATGAAATTCATACAAGGTAAGAACTGTCTTGTTGAACTAAATCAAAGGCACATTTAGTAATTGCCTCCAAAAATGGCCAGTCAGAAACATTAAGGAAAGCAATTTAAAAAGCACAGCATGGTTTAGATAATGTCTTTTCCTTCTCAGATCCTGTTAAGAATAGGTTTACTGCCTATGAACATGGGGGTTCTATTTTTAACTGCTATAACTAATTATCCCTCCATGTTACATATTAATCAAAACTTTAGTTAATGGTAATGGTATTGGTAAATTGTGGTTTATTGCATTTGAACTCATGATCCTATTTTGGTTTGTTTTAGTGCCACACACTAGCTGCTGTTTTGGCTATGGAGGCAAGAGTGGTAGAAAGAGAAAGTACTCATACTGTTAAGAAACTCCTGCTGGTGCTCTTCTAGAATTCACCCACACTCCCTGGCAAGAGGGTCCTTTCCCCATTCACTATGCCCTTGATAAGCCTTCCCTCTCAAGCTTGGCTGCTTAGCTCCACAGAGGCATACAAAGAGAACTTGTCTAAGGAAGGAATATTTGGATATCTAAATTTGAGACTGCTTAATACAAAGACAGTGTTGCCAATATGGTAATACTATTCTTCATTGTTCATAACCTTTGCAAGATGGGGGAACATTCTTCTCGAGGAATGGCACAGCCTTCCAAGCTGCTCATTAAAGACGGAGTTTGGAATCTGGCTTTCTTGCACTCACCAGACTTCTTTCCCATGCTCTGTCCTGGTTAGCTAAGATTAGGACTATGAACTCTAGAGAATGTGAGCAGACCCCTTTTTTTGTGCCAAGTTATTCTTGTGCAAAGTATGCAAAAGCCAAAAGTCACATGTATGGATTCAGAACTCTTGTTTCCACTTACACAAAAGCTTGGTGTGAGTCAGGCTTAGGACAAAAAGAAACAGCCTGGAGTATAGGGTGCTACACCAGGAAAAACTGAGGGATTCAAACCCCCAAACCAGATTCCTCCTGCATCTCTAGATATAGTTCTTGTGCCAGTATATATCACCCAATCAAATCCATGGTCTGAAGGCTGAAGATGCCAACCGTCAGACATAAGACATCAGAAGTTCTATAGGGCAGTAAATTTGGGACCATTTCTCCCATTTTACCTTTTAAATATGTTCCCAAGACTTTTCCTGTACTCCTTTGCCCAAAGCATCCCATCAAACAGCATTCTTAATATTTTTCATAGCATAGCCTTCCATCTGCCCTTCTATAGCCTATTCCATGAATGCATTCTTCACCATAATATGTAAAATATATTCATGAACCAAGACATGTCTTTATAAGACCTATGGGTATAAGTGATCAAGGAAGAATCTGATAGGTGGTGGGAGTTAGAGAATGATCTTCAAACAGTTGTGTGCTGACTTCAGTGGTCTCTGCTTTGCAGCAGAAGATAGTCTCAGCCAGCACAAATGCCTTTATGTAAAACCTATATTTTATAGGGCTCATGGATGTGCATTTGGATGTTAATTTGCCAGCCAACTTTGCAGCCTGAATGGGCTTTGGGTAACAATTAAGAAACTTCTTCCTTAATATGTGTTGCTGGAAGCTGATAGCTCCTGATGACTAAAAAGATGAAGGTGAAGGGTGTGTTTCTTTGAACTGAAATGGATGGTTGGGAGATCAGGGGATAAATATTGACAGAACCTTTCATCTCCAACTAGTTACCTTTTCAGGCTGCAAATAAATGTCAGGAAATACCAATGGGCCTATAGATAGGGGCTACTGAGGAGAAAAAAATATTCTGTGATCTTAAGAAAGGATTAAAATATTCTTGAATCAAGGCTAGAAGGGAAGATTTATTTGGCTGGGTGGGGGTACAGAGAATGGCCAAACATCTCTAAATTTTCTACTCTATTTCTGCAGTTAAATAATGGTTAACTGAGCTGCTGATGTGATGATGCTCTGCCACTCAAGAACACCAATAAATATTTCCTGGTTATCAACTGGGTAGTAGCAGAAGACGTGGGGAAAAGAATAAAAAAGACTGGCTGAAATAGCCCACAACTTTTCTGCTTATCTGTGGAAAGTATCCTGATTTGTTCAACAAATGATAGTTAAAACAAACCTTAGCTTAGCGTTATGTGCATATGAGCCAATGTTTAAACCACGTAAAGCTATTTCAAATATAATAGGTGGTGTATAAATAAATATTAAAATGGTGTATTAATACAGTGTTGTACTGAGAAAATAAATAAAAAGTGTTTAAACAGCAAAAAAAGAAGCTAAACATACTCAATTTGTCAACATGCAGTTCCAAAAGCATGGAAATTATTTGCCTTGATACTTCAATGCATATGTTAATGAAATGTATTTATATCAGTTACAGTACACTAGTACATCTCCAATATATGTATTGCAGCTTCAGAAAATTTGAATCAGGGAGTGAACAAAAGGCAAAAGTGATCTTACGCAGAAATCAAAGCAACCTGGGCAAGGTAAGCTCATGCAGAGCAGCAGTGTCAGAAAAGAGGTATGAAGATGACATGTGTACAGTTGCTTCTTGCAAAAGAAAATCCAGTAAAACACCAAGAAATTCAAATACAAACCTCAGCAGGCAGGATTTCTATATATCATATATAGTTTGGACCAAATTACATATGGTGTTAAACATAGCTTATACTATGTGCCTCTTTAACTGCAGATAGCAGCTACTGAAGGCCCTTTCATCAAAAAAGACCTGAACCACAAAGTGGCAGTTTCATACTACATCTCTCCCAAGCCCCAGTAAAAATCATCCCACCCCCAAAATTGCTTTTAGCATTCATGCATTCATTTCATTTATTTAATATCATGTATAGTTTGGCCCTAAGCTACCAAAGAATGTATTTATTAATTTTTGAGTTCCTTCCACATTTTGAAATAAGCCAAATAGTACTAAAATACAGAGGCATTTTATAATTGTTTAGAGACAATTTCTATAAATTTTATATTTCTAAACAAGGAAATTATAAACTGAAAAGTCAAATTTTCATGTTTTATAATAATCCTCTAAACAATTTCCCTTAAGGAAAGTTTGATTCTTTGGCAAGGTGGATGTGTACAAACTTGCACAAAATTCCTTAGTCTTAACATGCTTGCTGTTGGCCAAACAGCTTGTTCAAACGGGGGCTAACTAGTAGCATTTGATCCCACAGCTTTATTGCATCACCAACAGTAATGTACCATTTGTCACTGGAAAAAGGAGTGTGAATTCCAAGCTCCTGCAAATACATTTAACTGCTGTGAATATTTTACAAAGTGTAATGATCTCTATATTCTAAAGTGTTTTTAAAGCACCTCTCATTTAGGTGACATGTTTATGAATATACAAGGGTACAGTTCTTAAAATGCTTTCTCTCTCTCTCTCAGCTCCAATTAATTTTCAACCATAAATACCAAAAGTGAATTAACAACACAGAAACCTAGCTTCTTTTTAATAGTCCCATGTATTTTTCAGTCAGCTAATCATAAATTCCAGTGTCAGCATTTTAAAAATTTCATCTGCTCAGGGAATTACCACAAAAATCATGGCTCTCTCCATATTCTTTTGAACGGTTGCAAATTGCAAAATGATGAATCAGTAAATTTTACAAACACTTGCTTAAGGATACTGTACAATAATGAAAATAAGGTAGTTAATATAAAAACTGTAAGATATACTTGCTTTGAAAATCAAATGCTTATGGAATGATTAAGACTGCTGAGTAAATATTTCTCATTCAAGCATACATAATAAAAGCCTGACAGGAAGGAACCCCTCAATAATGAGAAGTAGCTTGGGCCAGCATTATACACATATTTCATCATTAAATGTGTACTTGGAAATGATCTTAGTCAACATGCAATGGATTTGGCAAAGTTAAAATTACCCACATGTAATGTCTAAATCCCTTTACCATGAAACTGTAAACATACAGCTATTGTTCTCATCGAACTCTGCGAAGCTCTGTTTACAGCATCACTGTAAAGATACTTACTGGCTGAGGGTTGAGGTTGAATACGAGGTATTCCTCCATTTGGCACTTGAAAGTTTGAGTCACTTCTACTGTTTTTCACAGACTCAACTTGGATGTTAGATGTCCTGGACAGGTTTGGAAGACTACGCCTTAGTTTTTCTGTATTGAAGAAAGATAACAAGAACACCACAACATACCATCTGATGCAGGAGACTGAACTGTAATACCAACCACCACCACCTGAAATGCAAAGTCGCTGAGGAAAAAAAAGTTCGCTGCAAATCTACACGGTATAATTTTTATGTGCACGTTACATTACCATAACAACATGTTAAAGACAGTAATCAAGGTAATCACAAGGATATCTCTAATTATATTTTTCCTCCAGTGTAACATGCATTACTAGTGGACTAGCATGACTAATAAATGAGCATCTCCTTCCATATATACCTGCCTGCCCCCTAAGATCTGGACTGGAGGTCCTTCTGCGGGAGCCCTCCTTGAAGGAGATTTAGGAGTGGCTACCAAGAGAAGGGCCTTCTCGGCAGTGGCGCCCTGGTTATGGAACAAGCATTTTGGAGAGGTGTGCCCGGCACCGACACTTTATTCATTTCAATGGCAGGCCAAAACCTTTTTATTTTCCTAATATTTTAAGTTTTGATGTTGTTTAAAGATTGATTTTATTGTTGCTAATTGATGTTCTAGATGCTGTGCATTTACTGCTTTACTGTACTACCACCCTGAGACTTTCAGTGAAGGTCAGGATATAAAAGCTTGTTAATTAATTAATTAATTAATTGTGGACTGAATTCTTCCTCGACCCTGGAGGCCACTGTGTGCTTCTCAAATCTATTTCAAAGGGTTGGGTGATCCTCCAGGGAAGATTTAATGGGCATGCAGGGGGCGGCAGTGGAGAGAGAAACTTCTGTTGTGTGAATACACTTCCACTCACACAATGCCATATTTAGTTCATTATCATTTCTACACAGCCCTACTTGTACTCCCTCAGAGCAAAACTTACTCAACTTTTATCATCTTGTCTGAGATTTTAAAATTTTAGACAAAGAAGTAAGATTGGAGTCTGTTTCTCTTCATTCTCTCAACACAACTATGGTGAGTGAATGTGGAAGGGAGGGGAAGTATAAATGTGTTTACTGAAAATCTGCATAGAATCCATAGATGTACAGTTGAAAATGCATGGGTCTTAATTATGTCAAAAGAGCCCTATGATCATATAACTGTTTACTATGAATATGCATAGGCAAGGACCTGCTCCCATAATTGTTCCCCAGGACCATCCTGTAACATTCACTCTCAATTCTGTCATGAGAAGGGAAATGATGAAATCATAAGGAGGAATATGGACAGAAAAAAATTATCAAGGGATGAATATATAATGAAAGAGAGAATGGCAGAAGGAAGGGGGAGCAATTTTTAGGATAAAATCCCTACCAATATAGCATTTAACATATATACTGCCTTGCAAAAGTATTCACTCCCCTTTGACTTTTCCACATCTTGTGTACAACCTGGAATTGAAATGGATTTGACATTGTTACCATGGGATGTACACAAAACACTCAATACTGTGGAGGTGCAAGATATTTTTACTGTGGTACAAAAGGTAGATAAACAGAAACAAACTGGCACTTGTTGGTTGCGTAAAAATTTATTACCTTAAGTCAGTAATCGGTAGAAGCACTTTTAGAAAATCTTACAATTTCTATCATTAGCATATCTCAATCCTGCAGTGTTTCTTGTGCTAAAATACATATGTATTTACAAATGAGCAGATACAGCTCTTTTTAGTATAACAGATTACTATCATCCCTCAAAGAAGGAAACCTACATTTACAAAACACGTAGTGCAATAAGAAAACTGTGTCAACATTTACTTTCTTCTTACTGCACTTCTGTAAAGCCCAGCTTTGTGGAATGTCTGGGTGATGGTTGCCCCATGGGACAGTTTTTCCCATCTCAGTTGCAGAACTTTCCAGCTCTTCAAAGTTACGTACAATTGGCTTCTTGGTCGTTTCTCTGAGTAATGAACTCATTTGGTCACTGAGTTATGGTGGATGGCCTTCTCGAAGCAGTCACAGCTGAACCATATTCCTTTCATTTTTGTAATAATGTATGTAACAGTTGTTATGGGGGATGTTCATAATTTGGGATTTTTTAAATAATCCAACCTATTGGTGCTTATGTATAACTTATCCCAGAGTTATTTTGATAGATCCTTGTTCTTGACAGTCTTTGCTTAGACATGCTCTCCAGCAAACTTAGGCCTTCTAGAAACAGGTATTTTTAATTTCAGAAAATGTGGTACTTGAATTGGACACAGGTGGACTCCATTTCACTACAAGACTCATTTGGGCATGTCACAGCAAGGGGTTGAATTCTTACACAAACATCTAGTACCAGTTTATTTTTGTTTTGCAGCTGCACTGTGTTGAGTATCTTGTGTACATCTAGTGGTAATAAGGCCATCCATTTCAATATGGAACACAACAAAATGTGGAAGAATCAAAGTGGGATTAATGCTTATGCAAGAGACTGTAAATATGCAATATAACATTTCAAAAATTTCAATAATTAAGCAAATAAAGCCATTTTCAGCAGTGGCCTCATATATGTGCAATGCTATTCCAAGCAATCCTTTTAAAAAGCCCCAAAGCTTCTTTTGTACTCCACTGGTCTCTCTTAAAAGGAAGTTAGAAGCTGTAATATGCACTGTTTTTAGCTATAAATATTTATTGTAGTCTTTTAAAGCAGAGTGTGTACCACTGGTAATACCTGCTGTGATATATCCTGACATAGCATTCCAAAAATGTGAGGCCACTGCTGAAAATGACCTCTTTCTTGCACCTACCAACCTAGTTGTTTTTTATAGGCAGGCATGTAAATAGGGCTTTAGCCACAGATCTCAGAGTGCAGGCAAGTTGACTTGAATTTATACATGATATTTCTGTCACCCTCGACTCGAAAAAGGAAATATATCCTGCTTTCTCAGCTAAAGGCTACTTTACTGGAAGGTACAGTACCTACAAATCTTACTATCCTGAGATACCACTAATACAGAATATAGTTATTTAAAACAACATAAAGGATATTAAAAACTAATTTATATTAAATATTAAATTATATTCAAGAGTTTTATATTTCAGTGGCAGTGCCTGACAATGCCCAGCTACACACAGCCAGTCCAACCACTTCTGTTGTGCAAGCATCCCCCTCCCATACAACAGTTATCTAGTCTTTCAGAAATAACCTGCAACAAGCATTAACACTTGTTTATGGAAGGGAGCAGGCTAGCGAAGCTTGAGTGTCTTGTCTCTTATAGGATTGAGTGTTTCCACTTGTTTCAGCACTTGCCCCTGGAAACATTAAATTGTTGTTGCATAGCTGGTAGTGGCCACTTCCATAATGGAAATGATAGAGTTGGCTGCACACAGAATGGAAGTGGCAGTGTGCCCTTTGTGTGCACAGAAAGGACTGGTTACTGCTCCAAACATCCAATAAATTAAAAGGAATTTAATGAATTTGGCAACAAGATTCTCCTCATACCTATTCTGGCTGTCTTTCCTTATCTTGTTATTGCATAAGACAGCATCTAAGTGATCTTGTATTATCTTAATTATCCATGTTTCCTACTACTAAAACTTAGCTAACATTCACAGTTGGCGGGATGAATTTCAACAATCATATTTATTTTTCTGACTTTTTGTACTGGAAAATAACTTCTTAAATGTATACTTCAGCAATCTACAAAACATCTGTACATTTTAGTTTATGTTAATATTCGTCCCAACAGAAGGTTCTCAGAACCATTTTTAACATTTATATTAACAGATGGTTTTCAGTGCATTTTCATATGATCAATTTGTTTGTGTAAATAGCTCAATATAATAATTATTGTTAGGTCATCTGAAAAGAGCAGTAAAGTAGGTTGAACTGCAAACCTAAGATACAGAACAATGAATTGGACATTAGTAATCATTAGATTACTGAAAAAAATAAACTTCTATTGACTAATTTATTAAAATGATTATTGAGTGGGTAGACATAATGATCAGTAGATCTTCTATCTGTAGAACATACTGTCCTAAACCTGCATTATGTTAAGTAGTAAGGGAATAACAACAAATGTACCTTGCTTCATCAGGATGAATAGCTGTTACCAAATAAACTATAAATGATTACTTGAATTTAACAGCCTTGATTTACATTTCCTTGCATGCTTTTAATGCTGCTTGAAATACCTCAAGATTCAAATAGACCAGTTGCACCATTTTTTCATTTATGATAACACACCAGTTTGACATCTACAGCATGTTAAAAAATAACATTTCTTGTTGGTTGTTGGTGTGTCCCTGTTTTTGACGGCAGAACTGGAGAAACAAAAGGAAAAATTCAAAGCAAGAAAAGTAATGCAAGCAAGAGGTAAAGAAAAGATGAGCATGACTGTTCCAAGAAACTTGGTTCATCCAGTTCAAGAAAATCTTTCAGGGTTCTATTTTAGAAGCTCAAATCATTTATGTAATATATCCATACATATTAAGATAATTTTGTCATGGTCTTCCAACCCTATGAAGTTGTACTACTGCTGTAAAGAAGAATGAGACAGGATCCATTTCCACGCAAAAAGCTATGCAGCAGCGTACCATGAGAGGTATGTGTGGGAGCATCATCATGGAAATACTGGCATCTCTACAGCCAGATAACAGCAGCATCAGTTCTCTGATCTACTACTGTGAAAGGTAGTTGAGGCTTCCATAGATGGATTTCACCACGGCAGAAATAATCAATCTCCCCTTACCCAGTCAGACCATCTCTGACATTCTTGAATCAAAAATGTTAAAATGCAGCAACATGTCTTCTCACTTGTGCGATAGTGCACATACTATATCTCCTCAGAATGCAGAGACGTCAGTAAAACCCATCGCTACATTGTGGAATCGGCAACCAATTTCCAGAACAGTTTTCTCCTTTTCTTTTAATTAGCTTCTTATGTCTGGTGCATGGGTACATGTGCATGCAAGGAAGTATGAGATATCCTAACACAACTTCAAAAGAAATAATAGGAAGTTTAACTTTCAGCCACATTTAATGTTTTGCTATAGTGGGGCTGTTAAGCAGTAGTGGCACTGACACATGCTTTGATGCCCTTGCAGAACACAAATACTATTAATTTGCCCCTCCTACATAGTCAACTTAATCACTGCCTTGAATTTGGCAGGTGATGACCTGAGAGAGGACATTATCAGTACAGGCATTCCTACAATGTAATTCCCTCCCCATTCATATAAGGGTGATGCCAAGTCTTTTGAGCTTTGGTGCCACCTGAAGACTTCGTTAAACCAGGGTTTTATTATTTCTTTACTTTTGCTGTATTGTGTAAATCTTTATCTGTCACTGTTCTCCCTGTTTAATCACATTTTGTTAATGTTATATTACTGAGTTTATTAATTCCCACTTTCAAATTAATTTATAATGAACACTGGGTAAGAAATGTCTTAAGTAAATAAATAATACCACCTCAGAACCATTGCCAGTATTCACCTTTTCAATACTCATTTCAGTTTCCTCCCTTTTCTACCATCTTTTGGCAAATGCTGTTAAGAGTATGAGACAGGCAACAAATTCTAGAAGGATAGCAGAGAGCTAACTGAAGCAGGATAAGCAAGCAAGTCAATGCAGAACAGGGGGCAGAAAAATTCTCCAGACCTTAGAGAGGTTAACCAGCATTTCCTATACTGAAAGTGGGTAGATTGCCCCCACCCCCAAAAAGGAGTAATCAGTGAGGTGTAAGGTTACCAAAGTCCCAATATCAAGATTTCAAACAGATATGGAAACACAGTTGACAGATAAATGGCAAATTCTGAGCTAAACCACCCATTGTTAGCTGTGGCACCACCAGAGTGACCAATCATGCTATTCTTTGCATGCCTGCTGCTTCAACTTTATTTCTGGATCAAAAAAGGAACCCAGGAATATTGCATTTTTGAGTTGCTGCAATGACTTGTGAACCCAATGCTCTGAGCTGTTCAGGGGGAAACAACCGTTTTAGCCCAACAACATACCATGGGTTGTTTGGCTATCCAAAAAGTGCTGAGCACATGGAAGGTAATATGCTCTGTTGCTATGTACTATGAGTTGTTTACCTATAGTGAGCTAGTGCACACAGACTTCCTCCCTCTGGGAACCATTACTTCTTTTTGTTGGACTTCTGTAAGATGAATTTCCATTAGTTTGACTTGGTTCACATGATTCATAAAACAACCCAGCAGTCTGGTTCTCACACTACACTCACATCCTACAAATGGGCTGACTGTAGTGCCAGATGCAACATACTCCTCATGCCTGCTTTTGATAGCAAATTGTTATTAACTTGCAATTTGCTATCATGTGCTAACTGGTCTTTTCTGTGAAAATGTTCCATTCTAGGCTTAGACAATGCACAGATGATTATTAAGCAGTGGTGGCCTGTTGAAAAATTACAAAAACGGCATCTATGAGCGCATGTTCATGGACGTATACACACAATATACATAAAATAACTGAAAAATGGCTTGCTTGGACAAGGGGAGGACAAATTCAGCTTTCCCATCAGGTCTCTATTCTAGTTTCAGTGGGTCCCAAACAATATGTGGTTTATCTATACCAATCAGTTAAGATTTACTGATTGCAGAGGTTGTACAGAAGCAAGTTAAAGTTCTAGAACAAGCAACTGAAGAGCACAAACGCGATCATGAAAATCACAAAAAGACGAATAAATAGAACCATGTATAGCCAAACCTACTATGCAGCACATTGGCTTGACCCTTCCACAAAGCAGAGCTAGCAAAGCAAAGTATTTGAAAGCGTGCCTTAAGAGATCTAAAGCGGGTGAAGAGCTGGACAGGGACAGGGACATCCAACAACAACAGAAAAGTGACAGTGCCAAATATTGTTTGTGGTATCTCCTAGTACAGGCTCAATTTAAACTTTGCCATAATTTGAAAGAAAGCAAGTTTAATGGTCACCAATCAAATGTTAGTTTACATACCTCATTAACACTTTTCAACTGAAAATATTGACAGAACATAAATCCTGGTTCATTTTTCTACTGTAATGAACTCATGATTTGGGAAAGACACAGAGATGGGTTGCTCCAATTTGAGCATTTAATTCTATTCTGAACTTCAGAAAACATTATCAGGGGAACTTGGTTATTAAGCTTCAATAAATCTTTAAAAATAATCTTATTAATATATTTTATAGAGAAATTACACCACATCATTCATGTTTCATGAACATCATGTCCTTAAAGTATAACTTTCATATTTGTAGACTTTGGAAATTAATTTAAAAATCAAGTGAAATAAATCCTCCTCTAAAGATTTCCATAGGAAGTATGAGACCAGATATGGATATAGACTGAAATTCACTTTAAAATGCACATCCTCCTCCATACTCTCAAATCAACATTGGAAACCTTGTTAAATGCTACCATGTTCCAAGAAATGTCCAGCTGTACTACTACCACTGTGGAATTGCTTCTTTTAGTTAGCCTATCTGGTTTTATCCTCAGCTAATTGTTCTTCAGTACTAACATTTCAGACAAATAGTTGGGAGTAATGGGTTTTCTTCTTTGCAGAGGCTTTTCAACTCTAATTTTCAAATTTTCCTTTCATGTTATTAGTTGCTTTTGTCTTTAATTAGTGCTGTTTTGGTGTTGTATGTGCTGCTAATATTTTATATTTTGTTGCTTTTTTTGGCTTTCCATTACTTTGTTTTATTTGTGTGGTTTGTTTTTTGGTTAGCCCTCTGTGTTTTTCAAGGGAGAGAGAGATACAAAATACAATCTGTCAATAAACAAACAAATGTAATTAAAATGTTAGTGAACTCTGAATTATATTTATGCATTTTGCTATACTAGCTAAACTGACTGCGGCTAACTAGTAGATCTCATATAATGTAAGAATGAAAATTAAATGGAAAACTTTGATACTGTCATTTCTTTTGCATAGCTAATGTGTATTTGTTCCTGGTATAAACAGCATAAACAGCTTTTTATTAAACCCCTAAATACTATTAATTAATCCCAGGTTTTTAAAAAAACAACACTGTACACTGTGCATATATAGTAGAAGAGAACATTCATTCCGGCTATAACTCAGTTCACAAGTTTTTCTAAGCAACATCATTCATAGGTACCACCTTGGAGTGGAAACAGTTTTCCTTACCAGTGCTGTTCCCAACAGTACAATGACAAAATGAACAACCATTCTTTTGGTCAAGTTGGCCTTGACACTCTTCTACTATGTATTCTGCCTCTATACTCAGCACTAGTGCAATCTGAAAACTACAAAGCCACAGAATGGTAATACTCCACATTTACGTGAAACTTCATGAGCTCAATCAATTTCTCAGTTTACTGATTTACTCACCCTAACGGTCAAGATGCTTATTCTACATTTTCTTGCATATTTCTCATCAATTCAGCAGTAATGCCACATCATGCAGCTGGTTTTAAAATACTACCTATTGAGCAACATACTTACTAGCAGCACACCACCACCATTTTAATGCTTGATGCACAAAATTTGAGACGAAGCTTTTTACCTTCACTTTTGACACTGCTAGTCTGTAAATCAGTGGGATGGCCTTGAAGTGAAAGACGAGGCTGCTGCAAGCGGCTAATCATAGGTTGAGGTGACACTCTACTGTACTCTATTCCTCTAGCAGGTGATCGTGATCTGGGAGAATTCCTTGGGGACTGCTTTGGTGAAGGTCGTGGTGAATTGCGTGGTGATGGAGAGAACCGATTAACAGCTGGGTGCACTGCATGATGACAGCTATCTTCTTCATCTTCCAAGCTTTGTGCATCAAGTTCTTGGTCACTAAATGTACCTCGCCTCATAGAACTGCATGACGAACCAGAGCTACGCCGAGAAGCAGTAGCTGCATATTCTTGCCGGAGACCTAGCAGCAGTAAAAATATTGTTTGAAGTCCAGATTTATTTGCAAGCCTGATCACAATTGCTTCTTAAATCATTCTAAATTAATTTTAAAAAGGAATTTCTGAGTTTACATGTGAACCTTCTCCAAGAGAAGCAGGAATTCTTGATTGGAAATTATGCATTTAAAAATCACTACCCTTTTTCACTTTATAAAATAAACTCCAAGTAACTTACAAAAAGTCATAAAACAAGATAATGAAAAGAGTTCAAAATACTAAAATCAGTTTCATACATTGAAACCAAGAGCTATTAAAACCAAGAGGAAATAATTCCACAGAAAACAAGGACATAGAATTTTAACCCATATCGAAAGGCTCAAATAAAAAGATCTTAGTAACTCACCTGACACTTAAAAGGGAGACTACAGAAGCTTTCTAGGAAGGGGGTTCCACAAACGGGATACTGACATGGAAAAGACCCCATCCTACACCCCAACCAACTGTGCTTCTGAAAATGGTGGAATGCAAAGCACTGCTTCAGAAGCTGAACAGTGAGAGAAGCATATCATATAAGAGGTGGCAGTCCTTCAAATATCTTGATCCTCAATTTAGGGATTTGTAGGTAATAATCACTTTGAATTGCCCCAGAAACAAAATGGAAGCCAATGCAGATGAAATACAACTGGGATGGGATGACTGATCTGCAAAACCATTTCCGGAAGTCAGTTTGGCCTCTGCAGCAAGTTTCTAAATACCATTTTAAAGGTATGATCATGTACATAGCATGTGCCACGGTAAACTAGTCTTCATATAATCATGGTGCATGCAACAGTGGTCAGACCTATTTTATCCAGGAAAAGGAACAGCTGGCACATTTGCCAAAACTATGTAGAAGCACTACTAACCACAGTTGCAACTTGAGCGGTTAAAATTAAGGCCAGGTCCAAACCAACTGATCTTTCAAGAGTTCAGCCTCCATATAGAACGGTATATCTGCACTCCTGCTTCAGCAGCTTTGACTTACCTAGTTCATGCCCTAGCTTACTAACCCAGCTATCACAATCAAAGAGCAGCTGTCTTATAAGTCATAGCTGAAACCTTGCCAGGTCTTGGACCTCATCCAGGCAATAGCTGCCCTCAAATATGGCTTCCTGAGAGGATTACAGGCAAGATAACAGCTGTGCTTGTATGGCGAGTTGTAACGATGAAGCTGGTGCATGCTTGTGAAGATAGCTGGCAACTCAAGGATAGATTTTTTTTAAAAAAAATCTTCATTGAAGAGATGAGTGGCCTGGAGGTGGCAGTCTAAGAATTGCCAAGTCATCTCCCAGGTAATGTCATACATTTTGCTGCTTGTACACTTGCTCTTTTGCTTTAAAGGTAGGCTTCTAACTAGTCTGGAAGTCTACTGCACTCTTATGTTTGCAGTCCTTTCCCTTATGGACTAGCCTATCCACACAAGACAAATTATATGTCCTCCTGACTTCCATTAGGAGAGCAAGAAAAAACATCGCAAGCCATTCTTCCTGCCCCACTACAACAGTTTAAATCAGGGGTCCTCAAACTTTTTCACCCGGGGGTCAGCTGAAAGGTGCCGGTGCTGGGTATGGGCCAGAAAGGTGGTGCCAGTGGTGCGCGCGGGCTGGCATGGGGGCGGGGAAGCTTGTGCGTGCTGAGGTGGGGGCGGGGCATGCGGCGAGGTGCGGGCAGGGGGCGCATGTGGTGAGGGGAGGGGAGGGGAGGGCAGGCACGCGCTGTGAGGCGGGCACACAAGGCAGCGGCTTGCTCACTTGGAGATCGTTTTCTCCAAGCGACCAAAACGCTGCCTCCCTGTGTGCGGGGCGAGGTGGGCAGCGGTAGGCATCATGTGGGGGCGCGTACCCACGGCGGGTCCAAATGGGCATGGCGGGCCAGATAAATGGGCATGGCAGGCCGGATCCAGCCCTTGGGCCGTAGTTTGAAAGACCCATGGTTTAAACCAGGGGTCTCAAACTCAACTTACCTGGGGGCCACTGGAAGTAGAGTCTGGGTGAGGCTGAGCTGCATCAAGTATTCCACCACCGCGGTGGTGATGGGCCACTCATCCCGCGGCCGGCCCAGGCACCGCCGGCGCTTTGAAGGCCGCAGGGCCCCTCCCCCGTGTCCCGCCCATCCTGGCAATTGGCCCACGGGCCGCGAGTTTGAGACCCCTGGTTTAAACCAACATTGTACAAAATTGCAACATCAATTCTTTCTTTCATTTCCACTAGAAGACTACAGGCAATCATTCTGATAATGCAATATGTGAACTTCCACATCTTTATCTCCTGGCAATGTATCCCTCTCCTCTCTGCCCTTTTTCTCTCCTGGTTTTCCTTCAACTGTCATATTCTCTCGTTTCCTATTATGTTCCTCCCCATTTCTGTTGCCTTCCAGCTTCCTAGGCCCATGCATCCTATCTCCTTCCTCCTGACATTAGGACAGCTCAGCTAATCACTTACTACATTATGATGCAAATATTTTTCATGTTAAATTTCTACAGTTTACCAACAAGAATCAGTTCCCTGCAAAATCAGTAAAGACTGGAGAATGAAATAAGTGTTTGCTTTTTGCTATGCAAAATCCTTACTTTCTTCTTGCATCCGAGCTAAAATTTGCACATCTGTTAAGTCATTTAGTTTGTAATTTGATCCAATTGAGTCTTCATCCATTTCTGAAGCACTTAATTCACTGTCTATAGAGGACTGTGGGCTCAGTGGTGGATTTCTATCTGCTGAACTTCTGAAGTGACCTATATGGAAAAGAAAATAGAAGAAAAAAATCCTAGACAAGCTTCTGCTTACCAGAGATGATTAATTTAATATTTGAGGACTGGGGGTGGGGGATTGTTGTACTAGAAAAGGCAAATCAAGCTAGTTGACATGTAAGTTCACATACCTTTAAAGTTTAAGTGCAATTCAGTTTACAGTGGGTCAAATAACATTAACCTTGCCTAACATATATGAAGAGAACTTAAATTAATTGTCAGTAAAGAAACAAATGCAACTGGGATGAAACCCTGGAATACTTAATTTGTTCATGAGGAAATGCTTTTGGAAATGATAAAGCTTTACAGAATTATTAGTGTATGGCAGTTCAGGCTCCATCACCATCCTGAAAGTAAGTACTAGTTCAAGCCTATTAATTCAAACTCCATTTTTGGTATTAAATTAAGACAAAGCCAGCACACAAAACTATACCCACAGGTTAAGAACAGGATTTTTGAGCATCACTGCACCCAAACTGAATACATTTCAAGAACCACTCTGAAACAAATTTGTACCATTAGACAGGAGTTCAGACATACACGTATCTGTAGGATGGCTCACTTCAAGCAAGTCATATTCCAAATAAAGTCGCAAGGGTATACTAAGACAAGAATTACAGGACAATTTGGACTGTGAAGTGCTACATTAAAAAAAATGCTATTGCCTGCACCTTATCTGTACAAAATCATATATTAATGGTCAGACCAATTCCCAATCCATGAAATTACTCTTTGAAACAATTATAAAATCAGCAAATCTTGTATCTGTTTTAGCATTATTTATGATACAAATATGTAGATATGGCTGCCTTAAGGCTCAGCTACTGCACAAGTATGCATCATGATGGCTATTTTAGTTGTTCATTTTTGCTGCATCTGCATTAAATGCTGGAAAAAAATATTCTTGCAACAACCCTGCAATCACTCATAGAGAGCCTACGGATCGCCCCAAGAGTGGTTCCAGCTGGTGGGCTATGGATGTATATCACGCCTTATAAATAAAGGCTACTGGAGCAGCAGCTCTGCCCTTTTCTGGCTGCAACTTTATCCAATGTAATGCATAAACACATCCGTCATTAAATACAGGGAACATACATGGTGATATTGAAGATAATGGTGGGGAAGCATCATCTGCCTCAGTGGCATTAGTACAGCACTCCACAGTAAGAAAATAGCTCTTTTTAGTCCTTTTTTAAAAATAAGTACTACAATTACAGGAGAGCCTTCAGGCCTTCTTACATTAACTATATTGAAACACAATTTACTGACTAGAATAGAGGGAAGAGACTGGTCAGATTAATAGGAAACACTGCTAGTACATAAAACTGCAATAAAAATATTAACATTTTAATGTTAATAAAACAGTTGTGTTAAGATGCTAATTTTGTAGTGGAAAAAATCAGCTTATACAAGCTGTTCTTGAGTCATATTGTTTACAACTTACAATGTGGTTATTAGACTTGAGACTCTCACCTGAGTTGCCAGGAAGTATGAGCTGCTTTACTAAAGGAGGTTTCACTGGTGTGGAAGAAGGAGAATTGAAGCTACTGTTGTAAGGACTGCCAGCATGTGGACTGTATGAGTTTGTGTAATTGACAGTGCTGAATGGATTGCTATAGAGGCCGTGTCTCTTAAGGGCTGTAAAACAGAGAAGAAAAACTATTCAAGTATAAACTGTTTACTTTAAATACCATGAAGTTGCAAATCTACCTTTAATTGCTTGTAGCACTCTATTAAGGAAATTGTCTCCCTATAAATCCTTTACATATAAATCCTTTACATTGGTATATGATGGCCACCTTTTGGCATTGTTGAGGTCTCATCCCAAAAACTAGAACTCCTTTTTTACAATAATTTATTTGTACTTACTCTTCAAGACAACTCATTCAGCCTTGTCAACTTCTCAATCCAACACAGGTTAAAGAGAATTAGAGGAGGGTAGCAAAAATGATCAGGGGGATGAAGCAGCTCCCCTATGAGGAGCAACTACAACTGGGATTGCTTAGCTTAGAAAAAAGGCAAGTAAGGGTAGACATGATAGAGGTGTTTAAAATAATGCATGATGTAGAGAAAGTAGAGAGGGAGGCATTTTTCTCCCTTTCCCATAACACTTAACCCAGGGTCATTCCATGAAATAGATTGGTGGGAGGTTTAGGACAGATAAAAGAAAGTACTTCTTCACACAATATATAGTTAAACTGTGACATTCATTGTCATGAGAGACAGTGGTGGCCGTCAATCCGGATGGCTCTGAAGAGGGATTGGACAGATTCATGAGGGAGTAGCTCAGTCGCTACTAGCCTTATGAGCTATGTGATACCCCCTTTACCAGAGGTGGCATGCTTGCATACACAAGTTCCTGAGGAGCTTGGGTAGGAGGACGTCTTACAGCCATCCTGCCTGAGGAACCTCTGGGCAGCTGGTTTGCCACTATTTCTACGGAATGCTGGACTGGATGGTCCTTGCGTCTGATCCAGCATGGCTTTTCCTATGTTTTTAAGATTTTAATACCATGTTACTGCTGCATAAAAGAACAGAAAATTTCAGTGTATCACCTAATATAGAAACAAATTCTGAAGCAGTTAATTTAGGTACTAAATCATTTAAGTGAAAGTTAAATAGAAAGGAGGCTAGAAGATGGTTAATCTGAATATATTCATTCAAAGAACCCAAGATTTGTATTCTTGCTCTAACATGTGTGAGGATTATCTGCATTTGTTCTAGCCAATTTCTATCATAGCATGTGTTTTTTCCATGGAAACAAAAGCAACAGCCAAATCTACAAAAACTCCGCAAGGATGCTTTGTAAGACCTTTGCTGCTTTTCTATTCCAAAAGACTCAGGAGATCTGAGTTCTAGTGTACACTTAGCCATGGAGCTAACTGGGTGACTTTGGACCAGTAACAAACACTCAGCCCAACCTACCACATGGGGTGGTTGTTGTAAAAATAAGATGGAGAGGAGGAGAATTATGTGAACCACCTTGTGTTCCTTGAAAGGAAAAGAGGTGGGATATAAATATAATAATGATACTGATGATAATGATGGTGTTAATATAAATTATAATGGTCTGTCTGAACGTGACTAAAAGAATGGATAACGTTAAGAAATAAGAGAATCCTTTATCTTGAAGGGCATGATCTACAAATGGGTTGGCACACTTATATGTGGTATGAGAAGTGTAAGACACATGGTTGTTTTGTAAATCATTATATTAGAAAGTCATTAATGTCAGTGTGGGAAAAGTTAAAGACAAAACTGTACACTAAATTGCCAAGGTAGCTTTCACCTATGGAAGCTCTTGTATATCCAAACACATTGAATTTTGATATGATTGTGAAATATGATGATATTTTGGATAATGACTGAAATCAAGCGAAGAATTACGAGAGCAGGGTATTAATATCTCTTGGTGGCATAAGGTTCAAATACAATCAAGATATGTTAAAGATTATAAAATGTGGGGTTTTCATAAGGAATTAACATTTGACCAAGCGATCCTAAAATCAGATGAGAAAATGATTAAAAGAATGTATAATTTTCTTTTGGATATGAGAATGGAAGATGAACAAGTTAAGGAAACTATGATAACATGGGCAGAAAAATTTGGATATAATATTGAGTTACAGAAATGGCAAAAGAGCGAAAGAAATATCAAGGTAACTTTAGCAACCTCATATAAAGAAAATCTCTATAAATGTTTTATAGATGGTATTTATTGCCAAATAGATTAGCAAAGATGTTTTCAAATACGTCAAATGGATGTTGGAAATGCAAACATAAACCAGGTACCTTTTAACATATGCGGTGGACCTGTGATAAGGCAATAAAACATTGGGCTAAAATTCTTAAACGGCTTGAGGAAATGTTACAAAAATCTTTAATATTTAAACCTGAAGTTTTTTTTACTAGGCATTGTACCTGATGATGACGATAAACAAGCTATGTATTTGATTTTACATGTAATTACTGCGGCAAGCATTGCATTTGCCCAACATTGGAGGAGTGAAGAACCACCCACTGATGAACTGATTGTAAAAAAGATTCTGGATTGCGCTGAAATGGACAGACTGACTTAGTCTCTGCAGGAGAAAGAGGATACTTACTTCTATCAAACTTGGAACTCTTTTCATCATTGGCTAGAGAAATGGGACTATGCATAGATTTGAATATATTTACTGGATTGCTATAAAAAAAGGGGGGGCTGACCCAGCAGGTCTGATGTTTTTGATGATTAATGTTTTTTAGTTTCTTTTTTTAGTTTGTAGACAATAATAATAAAAATTATTCAATATAAATTATAATTGGTTCTGGTGCTTGCCAGTGACTCTTTTGCATATTCAAGCCACACCATGTGGTTTACTGAAACATTCACTCCTGTTGAGAGACTACTGTTGGCATGGCTAACGAACTACCCCCAACTCTAAAAAGCCCATGAGTTTGGGGCAGTTTCTTAATCATGCCACCAATCCACCTATGTCAGATTCAGATTTCTTAATCAGACATGGAGCCTGCCCATGATGGCCTAAATATTCAAAATGGCCACCAGTACACATTGCAACCCTTGTTGGGTTGCAGTGCATTTGCAAACCAGGCCACTGAAAAGTCACACAGTGGTCACTAGTGCTTCACCCTCATCTAAAACTAGCTTGTTCAGGATGAATGTTTCATTCTTCTGAGACTTCAAGTTTATGTAATAAATATTTTTGATGTCTAATAGACCTATTGGGTGGTAATATTCAGGATTCTGTTACTTTTTTACAATATAGGGAAAATACTTTGTTTCCACCTACACAGTGGCCCTCTATCAGGCATACTCTTTCCCCAAACTACCTAACAAGATTTTTGAGCCAGTGACAGGGAGAGTGGGGAAAAAGAGAACATACATATCATCCTGATTTCAGTGGAGGAAGGCAGGATAAAAGGTTAATAAATACAAGTAACAAAGAAAGCGTTGAGCTGAATGCTTCAAATGTGAACAGCTATGACCAGATCTTTCTATAATTACAGCAGTGAGCTGATTTGTATGTAACAACAACCTAGTGTATGGGCTAAGTATGGGCAGGTTATACCCTAGCCCTAACCCTCTTTTCAAGGCTCCCTTTCAGAGTACTTACTGCTGCAAGTGTTGCAGCTCCCTGAGGTTTTTTTTAGCCCTAAGGTAGTAGCTGGATGGAGTAAACTGGGCTAACAAAAATGGGGGCAGGTATTTTTGTTGCTCCATCTGTTTTTTTTTGGTTGCTCCATCTGTTTCATTCACCATCAAAAGCTTTTTTTTAATGTTGGAAATATCTGTGCAGTTTCTTGGACTAGCAAATATACTCAAATGTAACAGTTTGGAAGTAAATAGCAGGGAAATTTGTGCACCTGTATTAACTACTCCATTACTGTAGGTGCACAAATTTCCACCTCATCTACTTCCTGGGCCTTAAAGTTGCGATTTATCCATTTCTTCCCCAGCCATTAAATGTATGTAAATTTTTCCTTCCATTTTCCAACCTCAACTGAAACATACAAGGAAATTAAACAGGCAAGGCTACACCTACTTGTATATTACATTTGCCCAATATAGTTGTGCAATTTTCAGAAACCATTTAAAGAAACAAGTGATGGTCACTCCAAAGTGGAATGGCAGTCATAAGCAGCAGTACAGGCATGATTTTGAAGAGTGGCAGCGGTTTTCAAAACTGTTGCTCAGTTCTGTAGTCAGTCCCAGCAACCCACAATGAAATTGCTGCCCTGGGTTCAGATGACATAATACCCATAAGAGTTTCAACAATCTCTAGAACCATGGGTTGTCAGGCTGGCTTGCTCACAAAAATTGAGCTATCCTGCAGGAAACACTCCAGTCTCATGCAAGACAACAAACAGCATAGCTAGCTGCCCACAATGTTCTGCAAAACAGGTCAAATACATGTGAACCAGGTCTGTGTCAGCTTATAGATCCAAAGTGGCTAATTTCTAAGAATCCATTCTGATGACTCATCAGGGTAGAAATGATAAACTCATCTCCTCTGCTCTGGCCTGAAAAAGTCTGGCTTTACTGCAAAAAACTTATGACTATGGGTTGTTGTTTCATACAAGCAAAAATTAATCTGTCAGCAGTTATGCTTTTGGTTGGATAAAAAACAGATGTGTTCAATATAAAAAGAGTCTGAAGCAGTCCTGAGAGAGCAACAACCATTTTGAAATCACTATTAGAATCTAGAGCTGCAGAAGGTACAGTATTACCAAGATCAATCTCTTATGCCCTACCTATTTCAATGCAAAAATGCAAGTATGTATTTAAGCTTCCCACCCATGCCAACTAGATTTAGAACTACCCAACTTTCACTGGATCATAACCACTATAGTTTTTATTTTTAAAGAACTCACCTATGATATTTAAACACTACATTTTTTCTGTATTTTGGTAGCATAAAACTGATTCACAAACTCACCTGACATTGTCTGTTCAAGCCTGTGGATCAATGACTTTTTAGCACATTCAATATCTGGAGTTGGGTAATCTAGTATTTGCCTGCACCAAACTAGTGGACTAATAGTTTTTTGCACTGGAGTCACTTTCTTCTTTGGTGATGTATACAACCTAATGGAGAACAGACAACAATAAAGTTAAATGATGCAATATGAACAAATAAAATCTGAGTTTTAATTTTGTGAGCTTTTCTTTCTTTTAAGAAAGGAGGTTTGTTATTCTTAAAATGTACCTTTCCTGAGTACCTTCGAAAACAAGTCAACAGCTGAATATTCAACAGCAGATCCATTCAAAGTGTATGACAACAGAAAGGGAAACCAACAATACATTAGCCTGTCATATGTCATCCTTGCTTTCTTCAAGCAAGATTATCAGACGATAATAAAAGGTATGAAAAAATCTCATGCCAAAAAATGTTATTTTGAATTTCTGGTAACTTTGATTAATTACATAATAAGGGAAAACATGGCTTTTGGATGTACAGAGATTCAGATGAAAACTATGTATGTTTTAAGGTAGTGGTTTTCAACTGCCAGTCTGTGGAAGATTTCCTGCCGGTCTGTAAGCAGGGGCACATCCCACTCGCTGCAAACGGTACGGCTGTGCAAGGGGGCTGGTTGTGCTCCGTAACATTTCCCCTGGTTGGCGTTGTATTTGTGGGGGGTGCACTGGTGCCGCCAAGGAGGCCAGGGAGGGGAAAGATGGCTCAGTGGGAGCTGACTGGGAGCCATGCTGCGCCACTTTCAGTATTTTGTTCTTCTGTTGTTCAGTTTCTGGTTGTTTTGGAGAATTTTCATTTTTTGGTATTGTTTATGGAAACGAATACACAGAATACAGTATTATGTGTATGGTGCTTTTTGCTTCTGTCTCAGTGGTCCCCGAGGTGGTTTTCCTGTTTTTGTGGGCCCCCAACTGTGGAAAGGATGAAAATCACTGTTTTAAGGGACTCTACATACTTAAATACAAAAACGAATGTCACAAGCTACTATGGATTGTGAATGGATGGTCAAAATCCTTGAAAGCATCAGGCCCAGAGATAGTTACAGACATGGCTTATATGATTACTAATGTACATTACAGCTTATTTATTCTATGGTGGATTGTGGTGCATGCCAGGAAACTTCTTGACAATCAAGGCACAACTGCAGCTTTGAATGTGTTGCTTGAAACCAACGAGGACAGGTTGTTGTTCATTTCAGGGCTGTGTGTGGTAGTAGTTGTTGACTTCAACAAACCAACTCACAGGCTTTGGATAGCACAAGAAGCCACAGTTGTGGCCTAAACATTCAGAATGGTCACCTGCATGCACTGCAGCTTAAGCAATCTTAATGGACGTCATGCCTGGCCACTCTGTTGTGAGAGGTGGCTTCATCAAGTTCTAGGAACTCAGCAGAAAATCTTGATTCATTCTTCTGCCGAGTGAACCAAACGATATGTGAAACAATGTGTGTTTTTTCTAAACTAGCACAAACTTAAGTCTGTATAGGCAATAGTACTTTCCAGGCCCTTTCTTCCCATGGCTTACTTCCAAACTTCCACTAAAATCTTTCACAAGAATCAGGGAACCCTGAGGAAAAACATGAGATGTGGTTCAAAACTGTTTGAGGCAGCTTCCTGAAATCTGCTTCTCCCTAACTTTCAGATTTTCCATAGTCATTGCAGTCCCAAATCACATACAATGTCTTTCCAAATAATTCCCAAAACCTCAGGAGCGGCTTTTGAGGATGCATCAGAAGCTGGTAGGAAAGCCCTACTGCATGAACAGACTCCCACTTTTCCAAGATTGGAAACCAGCCTATATTCTGTAAACCCAAATAATTTCATCTGTGACTTTGCAACCATATGAAAAGAAGCTGCAACACTAAATACTGTATCAACTGTTTACAACAGCCTGAAAATGGAGCACAGAAACTATATTTAGGTCTCTTTCAGCTTTAAACTTTTAATCTGATCTCTTATTAACAGCTGGTAACAGCAATGTTAAGCCCTCTCTACCCTGCCATCTTATTTATTTATTGCTTTTATATACCGTTCAATAGCCATATATGGCTTGCAAAATGGTTTACAGAAAAGATAAGGATAAACATCTTAACACGTACTGTGACGCTTAATGGTTAAGAAGAGGTTTTTTATTCAGTAATGCAAGTACCTATAATAGAATCCCAACAGTCAGAACATCTGCATCCTGGTGTTTTGAACTTCAACTTCCATCAGCCCCAGCCAAGATGACTAATTGTCAGGAATACTTTTGTCTACCGGGTTGGTGAAGGCTGAGTTGGGACCAAGCTAAATGTTTCACCATAGTGGTTTGTAACATCCCAATAAATACTTCTTCTACAACCCACACTGGGGCGGAGGAGGGGGCAGGGGACATGAAGCTGTGGGAGAAATGCTTAACTATTTGCCTGCCAAACATTTTGCCCTGAAATCTACCTCTTGCAAGCCACAGTTGTTCTATATACTTCTATGACTCACATGCCTGCTTGTGCAGAACAATCTTTAGAACATTTTAGAAACAACTTGAGCTTTTTGGCAGGACTCCTCCCCCACCCTCTGCACATGCTCCAGATTCATGTGGCTCCTGTCTGCTACTCCATTCCTTTCTTTCTGCTGCGGTGAAGCAACACTTTGAAATGTTCTCCAAATCACAGCAAAGACAAACAAAACTTCTTCCTTTTCACTTTCTTCCCCCTCTTGACGCACCCGAGTTTTTCTTTTCCTTTATCTCTTCACTCTTCTATTCCTTTTTCTCTTTGAGTTTTCTTCTTTTTAGCCTTTATCCTTCAAGGGCACATGGCCACAAACCCCTTTTCAAGAAATGTACTTGCTGCAGGAGGAAAGTCCCATCAATGGACAGACACTAAGAGTGCCTTCTATGATTCAGCAAGACTTTTGATGGAGAAGACCCTTGGCCCCCCATTGTAAGACCTTTACTAAACAGACCAGGAGGAATAGATTAGCACATCTCTGCATCATCCTTTGGAAGCAAGCCTTGAAATGGCAGCATTGGCCACACAAGACCAGTCACTGTATGCCACCTGTATCTCTATATGTAAGGAACTGCTTGCCTGCTCCACTCTAATTATGGAGGATGCAGTCACTCAACCAGTCCCTTTCAGGCTTCTTCATGTCCAATACCAACCACTTCAGCTGTGTCCCTGGATAGTCAGCTCAAGACCAGAGCTTCAGTGCCCAAAGTCAATACTGAACTGTTCAGACTGACCAAATTCTAACCCAATTACCCCACAATGGTGAAGGCTCTGAGACCAAATTAAAAAGGTCATCCTGTTCAGTTGACTTTGATACCAAACACGAACGGCCCAGTTCAAGCACAATTATCTAACTCTCTAATATTACAGCCACTCCCTTGTCCACTACTTGATCAAAATGACCTTCATTGCCTTGGATATGTTTGGGGGTGGGGGATGGATCTCCTAGATGCTTCTTTGTACAGCCACTTCACTCATCACACCAAACTCCTTAGTTTTGACAATCTTTTCTGGCATTGCCAGCTGCTTCATGAATCTTCCTTAGACACAATTACAATCTTCCAAGAGACAACTATCCACACTATCCCTTTAAAGGAGGCAGTGATCAGACCCATCCTGAAGAAGGTGTCCCTGGACCCAGAGGGGGCCGCCAATTATAGACCACTGGCCAACATCTTGTTTTTGGGCAAGAAGGGGGTGGTGGCGGGACAACTCCAAGCACTCTTGGATGAAATGGATTATCTGGACCTATTTCAGTCCAGCTTCAGACCCGGTTATGGTACTAAATCTGCCTTGGTCACCCTGTACGATGACCTGTGCAGGGAGAAGGACAGGAGGAGTGCATCCCTGTTGGTTCTCCTGGACCTCTCAGTAGCTTTCGATACCATTGACCAAAATATCCTTCTGGATAGGCTGGCCAGGTTAGGAGTAGGAAGCTCTGCACGACAGTGCTTCCGCTCCTATCTGGCCGGTCAATTCCAGAAGGTGATGCTGGGGGACTACAGCTCTGCGCCATAATAAAGAGAGGTCTGCTTGGTGCCAACTCTCTGCTTGGTGCCAACTCACCAGGGAAAGACCTTTTTATTTAGCCACCATTTTAATAATTAAGGATTTTAGCATTTTCTTTTTTTCTTTTTCTTCCTTTCCTCCTTTTCTTTAGTTTTGAAAATATTGTTTCATGTTGTGCTTATTACTGAATGTTTTAAATATTGTTATTGTATTTTTATATTACTATTTTAACCTTTTGTAAGCCATCCTGAGGAGTTTTTTGCAAAGGACGGGATAGAAATGTTTTACATACATACATTCATACTACTATTTTTACAGATCTCCTCCATATTATTATGATGACCACTTGCCATTCAGGAAATGACCCTACTCCAATGAAAGTTTGGACTACTGCCTTTGTTACCAACACAGACAGTCCCAATCACATTAGAGAGTCTAATGGTTATAATGGTTAGGAGTGTCAGACTGGGACTCAGAAGATCTGGGTTCTAATCCCAACATAGCCATGAAGCTCACTGGATGACTTTTGGCCAGTCACAGACTTTCAGCATAACCTTTCTCTCACAGGGTTGTTGTTGCAATGATAACATTGAGAAAGGAAGGAGGACTCTGTAAGCTACCTTCAGTTCTTTGAGATAAAAAAGCAGGATAGAAATATAATAAATAAATAAATAACCAGATTGGTCCGAGACTACCTCCATCATGCAGTTTGCAAATGTTTCAATACCACTTCCTTAGTACAGCATGGTCCAGAAAATCTGACTAGCCTTCTTCTAAACCTGCATCCATCTCTTCCTGTCATTATCATAAGAGGTCTATTGTTCTGATTCCTCATTTTCTTCCTCTACTCTTCCCACCATCGACATCTTCCCCAGATCAAATCTCTCTATTCCCCTCCAATGGACAAGAGACTATGCATGGAGCTGATAATGAGAAAGGCCAAATCAGTCAGCCTAAACATCAAGCTGATACCCACCCCACCCATGCAAGCTACTATTCAACAGGGTCCAAGCTAAGCTTGGGACAAAACACAGTGGAATCCATCCCTCTAGCATTTGTGGTCTTTTCAGGCTTCACCCAGACTTAGAAACCAAGTCGATCCAAGAGGAAGTT